TTAAAAATTAAGTTCACATACTGAAATAGTTCTGAAGTAGGATGATACTATATTACGATCAAATATCATGTGAATTTATAATTTCAACTTTGGGGAATGAAATTCTGCAATCAAAGCTCAGAAAGGCTGAATCTAAGCCTTTATTGGTTTTATATTCTATTCTTATTATATTCACTGGGAAGGGTGCAGCATATGTATGTATACTTACATAAGTTTGTTATGATTAATGCAAGTATTGGAAGTAATCCTCACTTTATCAAAACGGTAGGCAAACAATAGAAGGAGAGATGTGCAATTGGTTTCAATGAAAAACTAATTTGAATCTCAATAAATTCACAACTTAATAAGAAGAAGACTTGTCAAAATTTCAGGTGATCTAAGTTGCCATATTTTCCTTATGAAATAACATATTACAATTGGAACTACCTTCTACTAATTCCAGAGTGCTGAAGAGATTATATTAGAGTGTTTCTGAGTTGATATTCTGAAATTGGAACCAAATTACAATTGGTACATTATTTGATTAGAGGTAGTACATAATTACATATATAATTATATATAATATTCTATTTGATTATATTTAATTTGTAAGTTACTTATTATATAGGAAAAATTGATAGTAATAATCCCAACTATTGGCGGTCCACTCATAATAATCCCAACTATTAATTATTACAGATTAATCCCAACTTTAGGGACCTTCCGCCAATAATGGTCCATATGAATAAATTTTTGTAGTTTCTAAAGTGGATGAGATAAGATATAACAAGTAATAAATAGTTGGCGGTAATATATGGTCATGGACCATTATTGGCGGATAGTCTATATAGTTGGGATTATACAAAAATAATCAATAGTTGGGATTATTTTCAGCAGACCAGCAATAGTTGGGATTATTATTTTCAATTTTTCCTATTATATATCATAAGTGCACATTATTTACTGTATTATTCAATAAAAAATCTAAAATATTAATTTACTAAATAAACTGCTATAAAAATATGTTTATGAAACACAACAAAGAAGAACCTACATTTTCATAAAAAGATCTGCTATATACGAAGAAAATTAATATATATAAAATACATAGTACTTCCTCCGGTGATGGACAGTCTACCCGGGGGGTATCCTATCCGAGGGGTTATTGCGGGAACAACTAGAGAGAAGTCAGAGCAAAATAGGAGGAGAGAGAGTCGATTTTATTAAATGAACTCAGCGTGGTTTACAAGGCGAATAAGGGCTGCTATTTATAGCAGCAATAAATGCGATGAGAGTACACGTGTCAGTAATCCGACGGTCGAGGGGTCACATCAGCCGGGTGGCACCGGCAGTGGTACGTTCACCGCATTGAATGCGGTTGGCGGACGTGACGTGGCATTAAATGCGGTGGTTGGCTGTCTCCAAAAGGAATCTTCGATGATCGAGCATGTTTGGCCGAAGGCCCCTTGTGTAGCCGAGGGCTCCATGCGACCAAGGACCCCTGTGTGGCCGAAGGCCTTGTGTGACTGAGGGCTAGGTTCGGCCGAAGGCTTCTCTTATGCCGAGGGCTTGATAATGCCGAAGGCTCATGTTTTTCTCCGTTTTCTCCCAGTAGCTTCTTATGTCAGAGAAGGCTACCCTGTGAGTTTTGGATCCTTCGGCCAAGGAGGCCGAAGGCTACCCCAGTGTGTATTCTGGGCTACTTTGAGGCTTGGGCCGTTGCATTTGGGCCTGAGTTGTCCTCTGGGCTCAATGAACTTGTGAAGGAGAAATAGGAGTCTATGGTCCGGGGGCTCCTGGGCCATATACTCCATCATCCGGTTTTTAATAAACTTCACACTTTCCTTTTTGGGACGGTCTAAAATAAACTTCACACTTCCTTATTTACTTTTTTGGCAAAGAAATCTACATCAAAACAGTGTCAAATAGTGCCAAACAGTGTCTCAACAGTGTCAAACAGTGTCTCTACAGTGCCAAACAGTGTCAAACAGTGTCTCAACAGTGTACTCTACAGTAAAGTCAAATTTCTTTCCTTATTTTTTGTGAAGTCAAAGTGTAAAGATTAAATAAAACCGGAGGGAGTATAAGATTTATGTAATTATTTCGTATACTTTGAGTCCCACTAGGCCACTTCCCAGCGCCAAAAAAGAACAGTATGAGATAAGGTGGTACAAAAAGGAACACTTGTCCACTATTCTACTGCTAGAAGAAACGGAAATAACAAGTAGCTAAAAAAAAGCATCGGATTAACCCATAAAACCTGGGAGCGATGTCGGATGCTAGACTTCTTTCCCGCCAGGCTGCTGCGGGAGTGGTATGGGACGAAGGTTGATTTTACGAATGGTCAAGTAAGATTTGGGCTTTATTTTAGTTGTCTAAAACTTTGCTTCCGCGCTAAGGCGAACGCCTTATCGCCAAATGGACGACTAGATGACGACAGAAGGATGCCATAGTCGCCTATTCTTCTTCCGGCGTGGCGACGACTCTTGGCGACCCCTCCCCAGCGACTGGACGCCAAGGCAACGCCTAGACGACGCCGTAACAACCATGCTTAAAATGGAATTTTCTATTTTTTATTAATGTTATTCAAACTAACTAATAACATAGTAACTTGTTACTCTTCAAATCCTTAGATTCAATTCCTCAACAATTACAACAATCATTAACTAGTATTTCAATACTATTAAGATTATTCTTATCCATAATATATTTCATTTGTAAAACCCTACATATTTAGAGATATGTAGTAGCAACTTAATCATTCAATGTAATACATAGATAATCATCTATGTATCTACACAATTCACACATGAGTAAAATGCCTATTTCACACAATAGTTCATTTAACTCCATTTTTATCAATACTTTATCAAATTATTTCCCATTTCATTCCTTGAAAAGAAGATCAATATTCCATCAATAATTTATCATCATAATCCATGGAAAACATGATTTAGGCATTTAGGTAATCTTATGCTTAACCTACAAGTTGTAAGCAACTAGATGTCGATCCTCACCTCAATTGAGCTTTAAAACTTTCCTTCTCAATCCAATGACCAAAGCCTCGACCAAGGAAGCTTGAGAACTGATGCCTTGCTTAGAAATGAGTGTTAAACAGCCTCCTCAAAGTTCTAGTTCAACCCCTAAACGTTGGTACGAAAACAGCCCCTAGAATGGGTGTTTTCCGGCTAACTCGTTTCCTAGTTTTCCAAGATTTGCTCTAGGTTAGTATTTAACCTTTACATAAATAATAATAACTTTTTAAGGACCTATTACACACTTGGATTAGTGTATAATAGTTCCACCAATCGTTCATATCATTTGGAAAATGAAAGGAAAGGTTTTGGGGTTAACAACTCACTTTAGAAGAGTAAATCCGTTTCTGCGAGGTTGTGTTTTTCTCGGACTATTTGGAAGCCTTCCACTACTTCGATTGATGCAAACCAGACCTTCACGGATTCCTCGTCTTGAGATCTTTCTTTTGGTATCTCACACGCCTTAATTGGATTGGTATAACTCGAGATATCAACCAAACAGCCTCAGCACTCTCACAGCTCGAGTTTACAGACCACCGCTCACTCCAGCTCGATTTTTGTAAGATAACCCTCTCCCCTCGAATAGAGACCACTCAAATATGAAAATAGACTTCAAAGTCTATCCAAGGACACCTCATTCATCTTATTTGTCCGAGTATAACATCACTCATGGAGGGAGACAACCAGCACCATCCTTTTGTGCGAAAATAGACTAGGTGGGGTTCCCTCTTGTTTCCTTTGTCAAGTCCAGCCCCTAGAGTCAGCTATGGCAGTCTCCTAATATTATTTTTCTTGTCTTGCACGTGGAAAAGAAGGGATGGGGCGCAGCATGTTGTTCCCCAATTATTTTTGGGAGCAAAATATTAACCAATACATCCAAAAATGGAAGAATGGGTCCTATTGTTTTATCTTTTGTCAAAGATGTCTTTTTGTACTCATCCTAATTTATTTAGAACAAGTCAACTTCCTACATCTCATTATTGATCTCCAATATGTGTAGGCTCATCTCAATAATTTACTTGATGGATATTATAGAAGGAAAAATCTCACTTCCATTATTTAACTCAATAGTGTCAAAGATGGGATCATAGGCATTTGTATTCACCACAAATCATCTTATCACTTATTTCGACATTTTTCATCCATATTATTGGACTACCAGCCGTGTGGGTCACCCCGAGTGGGCCTACGACGCCATTCTCGAATACTTGCTATTTTAGCGGGTTGAGCCCAAAATAATGTCTGGGCCGCCGCCCTTCCTCAACTTGTCTTGAAACGTTATGTATCACTATTTACATAATGTTAGGCTCTTTTATCTATTAATAAGGCCCAAACGAGTATTCGCAAGCCCGACACTAATATACGAGTTCGAACAGTATAATAATCGATCATTAATTACGTAAAACATCAATCATTTACAATTGTTTGGGAATCAGAAATTCAATACATAAACTTTCAATTTTTAAATTGAATTTCCAAGGACGTTCGGGTGCGGTGTCACATTTATGTTAGCTCATTTTTATATATCATTGTTTAGACACTCATTTGAATTCAATAAAAGTTATGTTTCTGGTTTACTTGTTATCTATTTTGATTGTGATCACATATAATTATTTGTGGTGATAACAAGTGTTGAGGATTTAAGCATCCCTCAAATTTAAGATTTGAGACATTCAGATTTCTCAAATGTTTCGGATGAATTAGAATTGTCTTGTGATACATGGATGGAAGCATGTCAGTATAAATGATGTGTAACCGCCATGATCCATTCAATTTGAAATTCAGTTAAGTTTTCTTGGTGAGTTTGGTTTGATGAATATTGCGCAATTTAAGTTTTCATCAATTCATCAATGATCACATGACCAAGTGGGAGAATGTTAGAATATTTATTTAATTATTAATATTCTAATATTGGTCATGTATTTGGGGTTATATGTTATTAATAGAGTTCGTATAGTCCTAGACATTTAATTGGTTTAATGATAGACTGAACCTATGTTTAAGTCTGTCTAGGACTAGGGTTCCCCAACACTCTCCTCTGCCTCTATATATACGCTTATTCCCTATGGAATAACAGCACAATATTAGTGAGAGATCTCTACCTGTCAAGAATCTCATAAGGAAAGAGGCCAGAGAGGATAAGGGATTTATTCCAGTTCATTCATCTATCATGGATCCAGGTATTCCTAAATCTCAGATCTATCAGTATATGTTTATGTATAAATTATATGATGCCGATCTTGGAATTTAATCTAACATTATAAACTGATCTTTCCAGCTTGTTGGTTGAAATTTGTGTACTGAGATAATGAGATCTTCTATATCGATCAATATGACAATATCTCATACTCTTTCTAAAGGGGTGGAGTCATTACGTTGAGCCTCATAACAAACCCCATTGCATAAAGGGAATTTGATGAAAAGTGATGAAAACCGTCTATTAGATGTGCTTTGTATTTATAAACAAATATCACATACTTAAGCATAATGTAATTTGAACAGACACCGTTATTTATATTAGAAATTGTATGTAAATGTATCTCAGTTTAGACGTATCAATACCTTTTGGGAGCTTTGGAAGGTCAATAGATTTTCTCTTATGTAGGTACTAGTTTTCCAGCGCGCGATGCGCGTTCGTGTAAATGTCCAAGGCTATTGCACGCATATCAATTTATGGGGGAAAGTAGGGTGAATATATGACTAATAAGAATAAACTACTTCAACATAGAAAAAGAACATATTTCTAGAAAAAGTAAATATAAATGTTTCCATTTTGTCAAATCGATTATTACAATCATTGTATGGATTCTTGATAATATTTTCTATAGGGGGCGAAAAGGGTTCATATGATTCCAACTTTGTATGCTTGTCATTCGTTATGTTCAATTAGAAAGAAATGAATAAAGAATATCTTGGATAGAGATTTGTAGCATAATTCAAATAAGTACAGATTGAGATCGTAGAACATAAGCTCGTGAAATGACCCAAGCCTAGGAAGGATTAAAGTAAATACAACAAGAGTGGCGGTCAGGCAACATAGGACTTCCCCAAGGATTAAAGTAAATACAACGAGAGTGACGGTCAGGTAACATAGGCCTAGGATGGATGGCGAGGAACAATAAGGGGCTTGGCCGGCGTTGCTTTTAACCGACTTGGAAAATGCCAACCAAGAGAGGTAGAGGCGTTATCCATAAGACTGGTCAGTGCAAGAATCTATATCTATATAATATAATAAAGCAATCCCTTGGAAATCATTGAAGGAATTTTTGACATGTGGACATACTCTTTATTGGAAATTGTGACATGTGTCAACATTACAATAAATATCTTATTCCCAAGTCTCTTTTTTTTTTCTTATTCCCAAGTCTCTAAACACATGTGTACATGACACGCAATCTATGTAGAACACAATTTAAATAGAATGGTAAAATACACGTAGGGATTACTTTTAAATTACTCTCTTCGTCCCTTAAAATTTGACCAAGTTTGACTAGCACGAGAATTTAAAAAATAAAAATTGTGTATTGTTATTTATACCGATGAGAGGGAATTAACTAGAATCACGAATTCTTTACTTAAAAAGAGGAGTGACAATATTAGTGGGACAATCAGAAAAGAAAAGTTGACCAAGTTTTAAGGGAAAACTTTAAAAGGGTAACATTTGGTGGGAAAATTCTTTACCTCGAAGGGAGTATCATTTAAAATTATCAACAATATTCATAACTAGCATTTAAAAGGGTAAATGAAAACCTATTTAACTTCCCAACTTTACATGCACATATATAAAGGAAACCTATTCAACTTCAACTTATAACGGTTTATAATGTATAGTCACTACCATTTCATTACTTTTACATCGCACACACTTTTATGTTTGCGATGTAAATGATACTACATCCGTTCTTTTTCAATTGCAATAGTTTGAGTTTCATGCTATCAGCATATAACTTTGACTGTAATTATATTTAAGTGTATATGAATAGATTTTATAAAAATTTAATATTGTGGAAGTTCACATTAAAAGAAATTTAATAATATTTGACATATAATAATTTGATTATATATTTCTAGAAAATCGATCATGATCAAAGTAAAGTGTGTGAATAGTGTAAAATTCAAAGTGTTGCAATTATTAAAGAAAGAAGGAAGACATGCTAACAAACTTGCTAAGAATTTTTCCAATTGGAAATGAAAATTTACAAATTGATCAAATAATTGTAAGTCGGGTTTGGTTTGTTTAATTCTGATCTAATTAGGTATAATTATGTTCGATGAGGTCTTTTTAATTTTGATCGAGACGAGACTAAAGAAACTTTAAATGAAAACATCTTAATCGTTTTAAAAGATGTAGAACATACACAGTTCCAAAACACACAAATATAGTTTTTGACAACCTTACTAACTTTTACATTCATTTCTAGCTATTGCTGTTGAAATTGTAACAACAATTCGTAGTTTTTCAACAAAAAACCTACATAACAGGTCAAAGTATGTGTACTCATATGATATACTTTCTCTGTCTCCTTATAATTGTCTCATTTTTTCATTTTTGGATGTTCCCCTATTATTGTCTCATACCATTTTTGGTAACATTTGTGTGACTCTAATTCGTTCTCGCTTTATCAACTCATTATCAATCACATATTTCTACTTTTCTTAAACATCACACCACTTCTTTCCGTCTCAATATTAGGGGGGCGGAGGTGGTACTTTTTTAGTATTTAATCTTAAGTGATAATTCAAAAGTAATAGAAGAAAATGCTCCTAAATTTTCCTAATAAATAATGATAAAATTAAAACACTATATTTTTTATAACCTTTTAGAACAAAGTTTTACATCATTCGGTCGTTTCTTCCTCACTCTTTTATATGTTATTTATGTTCCTTTTCAAATTATGATTATTATGTAGTATTACCCACTTACCGTACAACAGTCAACTAACACGCATCCATATTCTTTTAAACAATTATTTTAAGTATTTTCATATTTGTATTTTCAATTCTATAAACTTATTGTTTCTCAAAAACTAAAATTCTATAAACTTACAATCTATAACGTATATCATGATAACACAAACTAAAATATTGGATCCGGATATGGGATTGAGTCAATATTTTCCCTTTCTTTTTCTTCAAAATATACTTTTCATTTCTTGAAAAAAAATAACCATGATCTTCTATTACCGTGCGACGCACGGGTACACATACTAGTTATAAATAAAGGACAAAGATCATGTATGAAATAGAAAAGATAATTCATACATAGCATAGTCCAAGCGAACTCACTTAAAATGTTTAATGAACTATAATTGGTCATCATATTAACAAATAAATGTGATTCTTCACGACAAAGTTGACCCAACAGACACATGTACTATAGTTAATCTAATCAGGGGTGTTAGATCGAGTATACAATGTTCAAAAGGGTCAAATTTTAACATATTTAGTCATTCAAAGTTTAAATATGTCTTCTGGTTTATAATTTCTTATTAATTATTTGTGGAATGTGATTGAGGGAGCTTCACAAAAGAAAGAGACATATGCCACATACAATGTTCAGATAGGGTCAAATATTGACATATTTTGTCATTCAAGTTTATGTATGTCTTTTGATTTGTAATTGCCTGTTAATTATTTGTGGAATGTGATTGATGGAGCTTCACAAAAGAAAGAGGCTTGTTATTTTGTAAAACGAAGATGTTATAAAAACATATTCTTTTTATAAAACAAAAAGTCTCTAGATTTTATTTTAGTGGTTATTGATTAACATCTACATGTAGCCGTTTAATTAGAATGTTTTTTACTTATCCTGTTGTTTTCAATCAACATCAGATAAAGTCTCTGGAGATTATTTTAGTGGTTATTGATTAACATCCATTTGGGAAAAGGTGAAAAGTATCACACATTTCTTATTTCTCAGTTTCACTCTCACGTACCATAAATCAAATTGTGAAATGTAAAATTCGAGCCTTCAACCGAAGCTACTTCACATTTCTAATTTCACATTTTCGCTTCTATTTGATTCAAGTATAAACTTTCATAGGGAGGCATATATGGATTGTTGAAGAGGAAGGATAAAGGGAGGAACACAAGTTGAATAATAAAAATTTATACACAATAGTATAATCTGATAAGGATGACAGCTTTACCTTCCAAGCGGAATAGGCTTAGCTTAAAACCATGAACAATTTTTCCAACCTAAACATTGAAGTGGAACAAAATAAGCAATATGTTAGAGCTATGTGACTCAAAAATACAAAATTAGAATTAACTGCACGTATAATTTTGAATAACATACCCTCTTCCACTTTGCATTTAGAGAAACAAATGATGAACAAAAAGAACACAAATTTCAAAAGTAATCGAGACAAAATATCTAATTTTTATTCTCTTGAATTCAGCGGGTGAAGGATCCAAACACTTACATTGATAAATTAATTGATCGACGGAGTATATGGACTCGAACCCCCGGTTTCATGAATATTAGGCCCGAACAGCGGATTAGTTGTAGATAGGATTTCTATTATTGTACATTATTATTATTTGGGCGTTTTAGATTAACTTTTTATATCATCAATCATTTTATATAACCCGGGTTTTCCTATATATATACCATCCATTGTAAACCTTAATTCACATTCAATATTCACATTTTAATACACTATTCACCATCTTCTTCCTTCTCTTGAATCAATCTCTACCTAATACTCCTTCGGTCCCTCTAACTTTGTCTCGTTCTACCTTTTTCGTCCGTCCCATTAAGTTTGTCTCATACCATATTTGGTAATATTTGGGTGGTTACAATTCATTATTACTTTTTTCACACTTTATCAATTCCATATAATATAATAAAGCAAACCCTTGGTGAAACACTTTACGGAATTGTTAACATGTGGCAACACACTTTAAAGTAAAAATTGACATGTGGCACCATATAAAAAATTAATTCCCAACTCTAATATGTTCGTCTATAGCCGTTATATGGACTATTTAAATTTGGCATAGCATATTAATTAATCTGGTAGAACTTACAATTCTCTATCTACACTTGTATAAGCATGAATATTGTTAGAGGTATAATAGTCATGAGAAAAATGTTGGTTGCTCTTCTGTGCATTGTAGAGTTGTACCCGATGCTTATTCAATGCATACTTGGACTGGTCAAGCACAATAAAACATGACGGAGTCACTTAACTTCTTGTTCCGTTTAGAAACCAGAGTATGTAATACTACCGATTATTAAACATTTAAATCTTTCCCCTCTCAATCTAATTCTCACTTGATCGTCTTCTTCCTGTCCCTTGCGCCGCTGCTGTTTGGGATGAGCAAGCACGGTCAGCTTCAAGGACATTTCAGCCGCTCAAGCCCATATGATCCTCGGTCATGTCAGGCCTTCGCCCACAGTGGTTCTGGAGTAAAAAATTGGCCGCTGTTGAGAACCACCGTGAAGGCCCTTCGGCAGTTGATGCGGTTGGAGATGGAGAAGAGAGGGACCCTCGACTTTATCCTTCAACGAGTGACGATGGATGCTCTGCCATTGTTTATCGAAGAGAGGTATTCTCAGCGAGGACACTTGCTACTGGCGAAATAGTGGATCGAGCTTCGGATGGTCTCTGTTGGCGGGCGGTCAGCTGAGTCCCACTCCGAGTTTGGCAAGGGCCACTACGGCTGCGAAGGCTATAAGCCGGAGCAACGACATCTACGAGATTTGCAGCTATGGCGGCAATATCTGGGAGGCGGCAGGAGGTCTAAAGTCGGTGGTTACTCTTCCGGCTTGGATCTGGATATTTTTCAAATCCAAAATTCTAGCTTTTCCTTTTCTTCTGAAATTGCCGAAACATTTTTATTTTGATTTTTCTGATTGGGATGAATTTTTTAATGTTTTAGGAGGGAATGATAGCTTATGGGATCCAATCTATGTAATACTACCTCCATCACACTATGTTTGGATAAAGGGGTGTGACACAACTTTTTGGGGCGGATGGAGTATAAAAGATCCTAAATTTTAATCTAGATTAGTAATAGTAATCGAAAAAGTTACGGTGACCATTTAATTGTCAAAATAGGTTTTTCACGTCATTTAAGATAATGGTATAGTTTTACTTTACACTTTAGAAAAAGTATGAGGTTTTTGGTATTGTAGCAGTACATTATACTTTAGAAATGTGGCAATTAATTTGACACAGCGCGACAAGGAATATGAGACCAGTAAAGTGATAAGAAGGGAGTATTAATTAATTCCACAATAAAATACTGTCATATTATATACGTTTTGAAGGATCGCAAGAGTCCTGTATAGGATCATTAGAAACCTATGTAAAATATGGAGGGTATAAATTATAAAAGACTATTGATTTTCTCTTGGTCATGAAGATTCTACCTATGATACGTATTGTTATGAAAGTTTCGTATCGTCCTTATCATAGATCAGGATTGAGGTTTGAGATTGTGAAGTTATTACATATATTACTACTTGTCTTGTTATAAACTTCTTGAGACTCTACCTATAATTTTACTATTATGGTTATAAACGGATTACCCTAAAGATTCACGATTTAATTTTTCTTTATTTAACAGGTGTATATAGACCCTGTGAGTGGATATGTATTTTTTTCCAAAAAGGATGTTATGCGGTATGTAGAAACCGGTGATCAGGGGCGGATCCAGGAATGAGGGGTGGGGTGGGCTAAGCAATAAAAAGTTACTGCATACAAAAGGTTTAGCTTAGAACTGATAGTTATTGAACTGAGTTTTTTTTCGAACTACTCGAGTTCGATCGTGATTTCGAATTTAATTTAATGACTAAATCTTAACGAGCTTCAATCTCGAACACGGGCTAAATTTTAGTTTAAATAGTTTGTTTTTACACACAAAAAAGCGGCCGTTATTTTTTTGAGTTTGAATAGTTATTCATGCTGAATTCGAGCATAGTCATGTTCAGTTCGATCTGGACTCGAGCATATTGATAACTTATAAAGTATAGAAATAAACTATATACTACCTCCACCCACTTTTATTAAGACTAGCCCACTTTTATAAAGACTAATTTGACTTTTCAAGTCAAAGAAGTTAAACTTTCAATGACTATATATTTATACAATAAAATTGATAATATGAAAATGAAATGGAAATGTTCTTTGTTAAAAAGTTTATCATAAAAGTATAAATTTAGTAAGTTTCACATTAATACATGAGTTAAAATGATGGATCAAAGTTTACCATCTTTGACTAAAGAGTCAAAGATGGCTAAATAAAACGAGATGGAGGTAGTACATCTAAAATTTAAACGTTTTTAGTGTGATTTATAATTTTATTATTGATTATTAAAGATTTTAGTATTTATTGATATGAATTAAAATACTTCTATAAAAGTATAAAACTAATAAGTAAAAATAGTCGATATACATAAAACTAAAAAGTATTCCCAATTTTAAAATTGAATTGAGATTTTGAATCCATTCTTACATGCCTAAACAGTAAGTACATCGTTCTCTATTCTTTAATTGCATAATAAATAAATCATTTTCTAATCTTTAATTCTATCTTTAATCATTATAAATTTATAATAAAATAAAAACTATTTTAGTATCTACTGAAAATATTCAGTTAATAATCAAATAGAATTACAAACTTGGTAGGCTTGAGCTGGGCTAGACATTAATTTTGAGGTGGGCTGGAAATTAAACCTATACCTATAATAATAAAAATAAATTGGGTTGGGCTGGGCTGGAGCCCACCCCTGCCCCAACATAGATCCGCCCATGATACCATTACATTAAATTAAAAAGACTTTGCACCAGAAAGGGTTCATACCAGAAAGATTTATGAGAATTTGAAACACAAGCCATTAGATTAGATGCTCCGTCAAAATAGATTTTGGAAAGTGTTTTAAACCACAGACTCACAGAATTGTACTACTGACCAAATAATTTGACTTTTCATACTTCATACCATTGCATTTTTGTGTGTCTATTTTTCATGTTTCACTTAATCCAGACCGTTTAGCTAGTTCCATCATTTGCAATGGAGCCAAAACATTCATTATTTTTTGGCTTGAGAATATGATGGAATAAAGCAAAATGGCTCACTAAATTGTCTGCGCTTTTTTGTTATGAAGCAGCAGTCAGTCCGTGCAATTTTGGACGCAATTTTCACTATGGGTCATCCGGAAACACTCTCTCTGTGCTTTAGTACAGGGGTAAGACTGCGTACATCCGACCCCCTTACCCCACCGTAGATGGGAGCATTTGCGGCACTGAGGTAAATGAAAATGAAATGACTTAATCCAGACCGTTTAGCTCTAGACTAAACTGCTAAAGTTGACATTACAAGATATAACAGAGCATAAATCATGAAAAGGGAAAAAGAGATTAAGAGTGTGATTGTGATACTCAAAAACAACAGAGGCAAGGGAATGAGAGAAGGAGATGGTTATAATGCATACAACGTGAGGAAGCATGCAGATTTTCCCAAAATCTCCTAAAACATAACTATAGTTACCGGAGGCATAAGGCCTGGAGTATGAGTCTCTCCACCATCTGATATTTGGATTAATGAGGAAAGAGATGACCAAAGTTCACTACCCGGGAGAAGACGGAAAACAACATAAAGGATGACAATAGAGAGGGAGATGGAACGGATGGAACTGCAGACGGAAACAAAACAGGAAGTTAAGTCCCACTTCGTAGAGTACACACTGCAAAACATAGTGTATCACTCAATTAAGCTACATATTAAACCAACATTTTTTTCATTGCTAAGATACCCTAACTCTCATTGGCTATTACGTAGTATAAAATTTTAAGATTAAGACTTGAAATCTTAGTATCAAATATGATATAAACATGTAACCATAGCGCCTAATTTGATATTTATTCCCATTTCGAAATACCACTGTCCTTTTCTAAAACATTTCATGACATTACTAGTATAGTTAATATCCTAATATTAAATTAGGAATTTTTTGTATCTTTGGAAACATATATTAGTATAAATATATCTGTCAGGTACTCTATTGGGGAACCTTTTCCATTATTTCACATGGTATCAAGAGCCTAAAAATTTTCTCTATCTCTTTCCTCCAAACCCTCGATTTTTTTTCTCTCCTACGCCATGTCTTCGGCCGCAGGTTCTGGTGTCGAGAATCTGCACTCCTCTTCCGCCGAGTTTACTTCTTCATCCATGGAAGCCTTCACCACTGCTTCATCTTCCTCAACTACGGCGCCGGTTTCCGCTACATTCACCGACGCAGCCGTAGTCATCACCAGCGCCCCGGTCAACATGACCCGGCCGCAGCAGGTGCTTACCTCTCAGTCGGGATTGGTCGTGACCTCTGCATCTTCTTCACTCGACCCTGGCACGTTCTCCCTGTTTCAGAACACTCCTTTGATGTATCCAAGCCAGCCACCAGTCATACCATCAATTCCAGGCAGCCCCTTCTCAACTCCTGCTTTTGCTGCCGCCCAATTACCCAACTCAAGTCCGGGGTATTTTGACTCGACGTTTTCAGGAGCCCCTGGTCTGTCTCGGCCGACTGCTCAATCTCTCTTCTAGTCCCCGATGGCAGCGGTTGCACAATCAATCTCTCCGGCCAACAATGTTACTCAAATTGTTACAATCAAACTCAAGGCGGTGGAAGACTACATCACATGGCGTACTCAATTTGAATCTTTCCTGGTCTCTCAAGGTGTGTTTAGCTTCTTGGATGGTTCCACACAGGTACCTCCGATGTACACGGTTGATTTTAATAATCGCCAAATCATTAATACTGATTATTATCATTGGTTACGGGTTGATCAAACAATTCGTTCTTGGATTTTTGCTACTCTTACCCGTGATGTATTAATTGATGTACATGAACTTAAACATTCTTGTGAGATTTGGGAAAGATTGCAAAATCGATTCCGATCTGCTAGTCTGGCTAGGTCTATGACCCTTAGACGTTTTGTTGTCTAATATGAAAAAGAAGGAAAATCAGTCCATGGAAAATTATTTAAAGGAAATTCATTTATTAGTTGGTGAACTGGCTGCAATTAATTCTCCTGTGTCCCATAAAGAAGTCCTTCAGACCACCCTTATGGGGCTCGGGCCAGAGTATGAATCCACCATGGGCACTATTTCTCTTTTTCCTGATCAATTTCCACCGAATATTCTTCATCGGAGTTTGTTAGAGGCTGAACAGAGGGTTCTTTATCTTCGTCAACAAAACGCCCCCCCTGCTTACCAAGCCTTTGGCGTTCAAGAAAGAGGTGTCGCACCCCGTGGTGGCCGCGGTGGCCGCGGGCGAGGAGGCCGTGGCAGGGTAGGCCGCGGCAGAGGGGCAGCAGCAGGCCGCGGACCAACCCAGTACAACCAACAGCAGCAGGCCTTCGGCCACGGCCAGCAGAACTTCGGCCAGGGGCAGCAGCAGGGCTTCGGCCAGGGTCCACAGCAGCAGCATGCATTCGGGCAGCCTGGGGAGCAACATCAGCAACTGAGACCCCCGAATGCAGGTGCTATAAGTAATTCAGTTTTGTCCACTTTAAATACTAATGCTATATTATATTGTGGTACTAATGTTAAATCTGCAGGCTCATCATCAACTGAGGGAATTCTTGGGGCAATTCCTCCACCAGTTGTGTGTCAAATTTGTTTCTCTGCAGGTCATCCTGCAATCAGCTGTCCGTCTCGTTTTGCTCCACCCACTGCACATGTTCTTCTCACCGGTCAAGCTAATGAAGCTCTGTGGTATCCAGATATTGGTGCCTCTGCTCATATGACTTCCTCTGAAGGTATTTTGACAAATAAATCTACTTATTCTGGTCCAACTATTGTTAGTGTTGCTAATGGTGCTCAACTCCCTATTAAACATGTTGGTGATATTTCATTAAATTCCTCTGGCCGCCCACTGCTATTGAAATCTGTTTATCATGTGCCTAATATTAAATTCAATTTAATTTCAATTCAAAAATTGTGTGCTGATAACAACTGTGTTGCT